CAGCATTTGGAACAGTTTGATTGAGCTGCAGCCACAGACGGGTGAGTGTTCTGGCCTGGTTGGAGGCATTCAATATTTAACCGGCGTTCCTGCGGGCATATCTGCTCGAGATAGCAGCGCACACTCACACATTGCCATTGTTATCGCCATCCACTGATAATTCGAGTCGGAAAAAAGCAATGATAATAATGTAATATAGATACGCGCACACTCGCAGCAGCCCTGCCGCCTGATGGTGGTAAATGGTTCAATTTGCATGCAACGTGTGCCAATTGTCAGCCGTTTATTACATTTTATCTTGTTGATTTTCATTCCGACGCTCGCCGCTGCGTTGTATTTTTGGCATGTTGAATTTTTAATTTAATTTAATTAATTAGTTGCGGTTTTGCAATTAACTTTATTGCATGCGCCATTATAGTCGACGCACAACAGCAATGCACACATTAAAAATTAAAATAGAACCGCACACAGACGCACGTTCAGATTGGAGGGCAGAATATGTGTACATATGCATTCACATCTCCATGACCCACTCCCGTACCCATTTCCCCAACTCCCTTTCCAGTCCCTCCTGCATTCATTCACTTTCACCGGGATGCCGCAAATCTCAGCGAATCGAGTTCAAACCTCACCGCAGTCACCGCCGTCAAAAGTACCAAAAAATGGTTGAAAACGTCACACAAAAGTCGATAATTTTGCGTTACGTGTTAAAACCGCCATCTGAGTGGCTCCCAATCCACCTGGCACCACCCACCCACCCACCACCATGCATATTCCACAATATGTATGGCCTTGTAAATAATTGTATATACAATTTGGAATACTTTATTTTTTTAAATATATTCGCACACACATGAAGTGACCAAGTGGACACCGACCGAAGTCAATCCTGGTAAAGTATTCCCCAAACACACACTGCCGTATTTACCCCCCGATGGCCGCCCATTAAGTGTAAATAAAAATAATAATAAGAACAAATATTTCCACTGATTAAAAATCGAGTTTAACAATTTTATTTCAATTCAATGCGATTCGCACCAAGATATACGTGTAGCAGCCGAAAAGGTTCCGCTAATGGGACTTTTTAAAGACGCTACTAACACATTTTAATAATTCAAAGATTAAAATATAATTCTAGCATAATAATTATAAAAATTAATAAATTTTTACCAACAAAATAATGTTTTAATAACAAAGTATTTCTACAATTTCGTATGCCCTACGAAAATTCGAGTAGAACCCAGAAAAATGCAAATAATTTGCATATTCATGAGCTTTAGTATTTGCTAATTGACACTTTAACAAAAAATAAACCAGTCAAAGGCAAAAAAGACCCTATTTGGGTCCCAGATAAAGAGGAAAATGAATAAAAAAAACAACCAGAAATTAATGGTAGAAAGAAGAAATATCTATAAAGGCAATTGGAAAAACCGCAGACCATGCATATATTACTGCAGTTCTTTTCCCTTGCCTTTGTCATACCACCTGCCATTGCCACTTTAATCCTTATTTTCGACACATCCAGGTGAGGGCACCGGCGGGATCAGCCGCGATGACTTCATCGACTCGGTGGCCGCCGGGATACTGAAGAAGCTGCCGCCCGCCTTCGAGACATGGCGCATTCGCAAGCAAATCCAGATGAGCCTGTCACCCACCGGCGTGGTCCTGCTGCAGGAGCTGGACCGCTTTAATCTCCTGGTGGTGCGCATCAAGAAGACGCTGGAGCTGCTGCGCAAGGTAATTTTCCCGTTGCGACTGTCAATGATGGTCGCACATAAATCCTTCAGCCTTGTTTTGCATTTCCCCATTTGTTTATGCATTTTCCAAGTTGGCTGGCGACCAAGCAAACAATGTCCAAATTTGAATGTGGGCGCTGGGGGAGATTCTAAAGCCCCCCCAGCTCCCAGCTCCTAGCTAAGGCTGCATTTTGTTGCCAATATAAATTTACAAATGCAAATGAACTCGGCTGCTGGCTTTGTCTTGGCCCCGGCCACGCCCACACACATGTATGGGCCTCCTTCCATCGGGCCTTTTAATTTAATTGCATCCAATGCTCTCCGCATCCGCAGGCCATTGCCGGCGAAATCGGCATGGACAATGTGCTGGACAACATTGCCAACTCGTTGTTCAATGGCCTCCTGCCAGGCGCGTGGAGCAAGCTGGCGCCGGCGACATGCAAACAGTTGGCCAGCTGGCTGGAGCACTTGCGGGTGAGTGGTCCTCGTCCTCGTGCCCCTCGCAGGCGCATTAATCAGCCGAGTCCCCGAATCAATCAAGGTGAGTTCGTGTCCACTAATCAGCGTCCTCCATTCTTTCTTCCCCAAAAAGCTCCGGGCCGTGCAATACAAATACTGGACGCTCTCCGGCGAACCCCTGGTGATGTGGCTGTCGGGTCTGCATATACCGCAGAGCTATCTCACGGCCCTGGTGCAGGTGAGTCTGGGCATTGTCACACCTCTTAGGCATTGTCATGGCCATTGCCATTCCTTTCCATCCGGTCACCTCTGCAGATTGCCTGTCGCCGAAACGCCTGGCCCCTGGATCGTTCCACGCTCTTCACCTACGTTACGAAATTTGCAGACCCCGACGATGTGGAGGAGCGCCCAGTGACGGTGAGTGGTTGCACGATAGGGGAGACAAAGCAGACTAGGGAGGCTATTCCGAATTCTAAATGCAAAACGATGACCCAGCCCAGCGCCACCCAGCACCATCCAGCTCCATCCTGGTTCTGGGCAGAGGCTGCGGGGCACTAATTTCGTAATTAGGAATTCTGTTTGCATTTTAATCGCTCAACTTTTTGCAGGGCTGCTTTGTGCACGGTCTGTACATCGAGGGAGCACGCTTTGACTTGCCCACTAATCAGCTGGCGCGTTCCCATCCCAAGGTCCTGGTCGAGGAGCTGGCCATTCTCGCCGTGGAGCCCATTGAGGCGCACCGTCTCAAGCTGCAGGTTTGTATGGGGAATGGGAACTGCACCTGGTTAGCCAGGATAACTGGTGGCTAGCTGGCTGGCTGGCTGGCTGGCCGGCTGGCATCACCGCCGCCTGGCAGTGACAAGTACTAATGTGCTCTTGTATCTACATATGCCCGGCGGCGGCGGCTGACGGGGGCGTGGCCACGCTGATATTTGTTTAAATGCATCGCACTAAATTACCAACAGCTTCCGCCCTCGCCCAGCCAACTAATGGGGCATCTGTGCTTTGCTAATTGTTTCCGAGTTTAAATGGCGCCAGCTTCTCGGAGGGGAAAGATGCTTTAAAGTGAAACGCTTTATCCTTATTACTATCTCCTTTTTAGAACACATTCTTGGCCCCTGTGTATACGACATCGCTGCGGCGGAATGCCATGGGTGTGGGCCTGGTCTTTGAGGCAAATCTGGCCACCAGCGAGGATCTGAGTCACTGGATATTGCAGGGCGTCTGCTTAACCCTCAACACGGATGTCTAAGGCTTTATAGAAGACTGACTAATTAATTTAAAATTCAATATTTTTCATGAAATTATTTTTACCCAATTACAATTAAATTTTATATCGTTTTTTTCGGCTGTTAAAACTTGGAATAACTTTTAAAGTTAATGTGAGAACTTAAATGACTTCAGGAATTTATAATTCTAATTGTTTGGAATTGGAGTAAATATAGAAGAATATTACATAAACAGATTTACATTTCCATATACATAAATGGATCATAAATATAAATAAATAAAACCAAAACTATTAGGTTAATTCAAATAACTTCTACAATAAAATATGCAATTGAGGTATCATAATTATATATATTAGGTGATAGTTACTTAAAAGGAATTAGTTATGTTAAAAGCAATAATTAGGAAACCCCGTTTCAATTACCAAAAATGGGTTACAATTTGGACCATGAAATGATCCATAAGACAGCCCAAAATGCATTAATTCCAACTCGGAAAGCTGTCCTGTACAGTTCTACAAGCTTCTGACTAAAATTATAATACCATTCTTTCGGTGTTTATCTATATTGTATATGACAATTTTGTCCATCAATCAAATTTTAAAATATTCATAACTAAGCCAGAAATGCATTAATTTCGATTCGGCTGTCCTATGTTAGTTTTAATAAGGGCAACAAAACTGCATAATCAATTTAAAATGTTAAAAAATTCAATTTTTTTGTCGATTTTTAAGAATTTTAATGATGTAACCCCTTATCGTTTTTAGCAAATATCGAGAAAATTTAAAAAAAAATTTTTTCAACCCGACAAAGTTAGATCGATACAGCTGTTGATGGTGATCAATAATATATATGATTTATGGGGTCGGAAATGAGTCCTTCACAGTTTTTAAAGCTTCTGATTAAAATTATAATACTATCTTTCAGCCTGTATTTATTTATGTTTTATGACAATTTTGTGTATAAATCCAATTTTAAAAAAATCATAACTAAGCCAAAAATGCATTCATTTTAATTCGGGAACTTTTGCTATGCTAGTTTTTGTAAGGGGAAACAAACTGCGTACTTAGTTTACTCGAAATTGAATCCCTGTACGGTTATACGAGCTTCCGACTAGAATTATAATACTATTCTTTGCGTCGATGTTTATCAATATTTTATATGACAATTTTGTCCATCAATCAAATTTTAAAATATTCATAACTAGTAAAAAAATTTATTAATTTCAGTTGAGCTGTCCTATGCAAGTTTTAATAAGGGCAATAAAACTGCATACTCAATTTAAAATGTTAAAAAATTAAATTTTTTATCGATTTATCGTTTTTAGCAAAAATCGAAAAAATTTTCGAAATTCTTTTTTTCCACCCGACATAGATCGATTCAGCTGTTGATGCTGATCAAGATATATATGATTTATATGGTCGGAAATGACTCCTTTACTGCGGAGCAAGCGTCTGACTGAAAGTCTTGTACTTCGCAAGGATACATAAAGTAAAACACAGAGTAGCTCTTCAGTATTGATTAATATTTATCGAATGGATTTTACTAAAGCCAAATATATCTATGTTTACAGCTCTGTAGTGGCAATGGAGTTTATCATTATTAAGTACGTAGGTTGCTAGTGCCTGTCAATAACGTGATTTGTGCCTGAACCGCCTGATATGGCTCTGCTCCGCCTGGCATTACCTGCGCCGCCAGCAGCCGAAGCAGCTCTTGAACTTGTCCAAAATGGTGGACTTCATGGAGGGCAGCAGGAGCTCGAGATTCTGGGTGCCTGCACTGTCGTCCGACTCCAGATCCGAGTCAATGGTCATTTCCTGTATGCTAAAGGTGTCTGTCAGCTCATGGTTCTGCTGGCGACGCTTGGACCGCTTCAGTTGAGCCGGGAAGAAGGAGATCTCCTCGGCCTCGTCACTGCTCTCGGACTTGTAATCCACCAGAGGCTTGTGCTCGGGCTCGCCGGGAATGGGAAGTCGATTGATTGGTATCAGGGTGGACGACTGTGTCTTTGTGGCCTATAGAACGAAAAGACGTCATTGTAATTTAATGGAACAATCGAAGATAAGTCCGGGTAGGTTACCTGCTCTTCCTGAAACTGGGTGTAATTCCGCCGGGCCCGCTCGACCTTCAGCTCCAGTTTGCGCTGCAGAATGCGGCAGGTGTTTGGTGGTTCGTGGCCACGACCGGTGGCGGCAGCCGCTTCTTCTTCCTCATCGATTTCTATAGTCGTGGGGGCATACACCTTGCTGGCGCCCCTGAAAGCCACCTCAAACTCCAGATCCGACATATGTTTGGGGGCTCCGCTGGCCGTTTTCTGCAGTGACGTTGGCCGTGGAAAATTGCATTGCATTTCGACTGTGGCAATTTGTTGTTGTCACTTACCAGAAGGCCTGCGGCCCCGTCCTCATAGATGTTGGATTGCCTGTCCTCGCTATCGATGCCGCTGTCCTCCATTTTGTTACCTCTAGCTGGACTCCGTGAAACTCTGTTAAATATACTTTCAAAAATCCAATTGCACGCGATGGCAATACAAACAATTCTTTTATTGTCTTCCTCTGCTACTCCCAAAACTCCAATCTCCCAAATCAACCCCGAAGCGCAGGGCGCAGGCTCCGGCGAACAGCTGCTGCTGGGAAAGCTCGGAAAAATCAATAACCCTTGACCCACAGCGTTGCCAGATGGCTTTGTCTAATTTAAATTTAAAGAGTGCGGAAAATAAGAAATGGTTGTTTATACAATATGCACTCTTTATTATGTACTTTTAATTTATTTACAATTATTCGTTTTAGGCTTAAATGCTTTAATCGTTGCACAGAAATGTCGTAGAACTACAAAAAAGGTAGAATGCAAATTCGTTTTAGCCGCTTTTCTTGATGGTTTGAATTTAAGGTTACTCCGTAATCAAGAATAAATAGGAACACAAACATAAAAAACACTAATACTATTAGATTTTTGTTCTGGAAGAAGGTAAATACTACAAGTTCGTTCGTTCTTGATCTGTAAGGCTATGGCTATGGCTTTTTGGTCTCTCTGCTATTAAAAGGACAGCCGGCTCGGTCTGCCAGGCTGCCCGAGAATGTCGATCCAATTATTCTTGCGTTTAAACTCAACTCAAATTCAATGCGAAAATCAAACAAAAATACTCTGCAAGGCGTGGAATTACAGGGCATTGGGATGAGGCGACTGGATCTGGCCCGCCAGGGTGCAGGATCGGCAGCAGAACTTGCGGTAGTACGCGTTCACGCAGTACTTGCCCTGGACAATCAGCTTGCAGTTGGCGAAGTAGGGATTGTCGATGCACTCGGGTGAGACTGGAATAACAGCTGCAAGAAATTGATTTTTCATTTATTGTATTTTATAATGAACTTTAATTCATCTTTGAGATAATACTTACATTGAATGTTCACCTTCACCTGGCTGTTGGCGTACGTGTAGGCATTGCTGGCCCGACAGATGTAGGTGCCCGAGTCCTCGGCGGTCACATCACTCAATACCAGACGATGTGGCTGGGCTGTGGTTCATAGAATTTACAAAAAATAAATAAATAAAACGGCTTCAGATCTATAATTAGACAATACCCACCTGTAATTTGCACACGTTCATTCTCATACAAAGGCACGCCATCCTTGGCCCAGGTCACATTCGGAGCCGGATAGCCTTCGACAGAGCAACTCATGGCTATGCTAGAGCCGGCTGTGTAGCTGTTCTTTGGATCCAGAGCCACCACGGCATGGACATTGACTAAGAATTACACAAGAATATATATTATAATCATCATCCCAAGACACACTTTTCACAACAAAACAAAACAAACCCATGCCCGGCCAGGAGAAGCATGCAGGACGCTCTACTTACCAGTGGGAGGAGGCACATAGGCCGGTCGAGTGGGTCGGTAGGGATAGCTGGGACGCTGGGTTATAGGCGCCGTTGCCGGGTCCACAACATATTGCAGATACTGGGCATCCTCGTGGGTCACTGCCCGGGCAGGACCCACCGCCTTCAGCGTAACGCGCAGCGATACCGGACGCCGTTTGTTGTACACCTCACAGGTGTACAGACCCAGATCCGACAATTGGATGGTGTTGAAAACCAGCGAGTAGTCGCGGGCCATCTCGGCACGGTCGTTGGCGTTGAAACCTAAGATCTGGTTGTTGCGCCACCAGCTCACGTGCGGCTGTGGATGGCCACCGGCCGAGCAGCGGATCACAGCCGGACGGTTGAGCTGGACGATCTGAGTCACGTTCTTGTCGCCGTAAATGTAGGCGGGAGTGTCAACGGGAGCTACCATCACCAAGAGGCAAGCAGGGATTAAGAGAGCAGGCAGCATGCGCAAAGGATGCAAAGTAAAGCGGTTAGTTATACATAGCCAACACCAAATGGAAACCACAAAGGCTGAATCGGGACCAATTAATAACCTGGGATCTTACAACCAGATATACCAATTATTTGCCTTAAAGAAGTGGTCTTCTTATAGATACACGCATTAGGAAGCTTGCTTAAAACATACCTGTCACTTGAAGGGCAACCTCTCGACGCACTGGCTCTCCCAGGCCATTGCTGGCCACACAGACATAGGTGCCATCATCCGTTTGACGCACCTGGACGATGGTCAGATCACCGTTCGAAGTCAGGACATAGCGGCCTTGGGTCGTATCGATCTGAAAATCATTCACTTATGCAATGCACAACAGGAACTTAAAGTGGCACCGGGAATAACAACTCACCACCACGTTCTTGAGGGACCAGGTGATGTTTGGCGCCGGATTGCCAGTGGCGAAGCAACGCAGCACGGCGATGCCACCGATGGAGGTCTGGACATCCAGTTCCTGCGGCTCCTTGGGCTCCAGGGAGGCTCGGCTGTCGCCTGGATAGACAACCACCGGTGCCTGAGTGCTGGGTGGCAGAGTGGGGCGACCTGGACGCACACAGAGCTGACCGCAACCATCGCTGCAACACTTGTTGTCTCCTCGACAGTCGGCATCGCTGTAGCACTCCCGAGCACAGCCGCTGGCATTGGCTGACAGGTAGGGACACTCTCCGGGTTTGGTAACATCACGGCAGACGGGGACAAACTGGCGTTCACCCGAACTAGCCACCTCAATGGCGCACTGCTGACCCTCCGGACAATTCTGGCTGTCGCAAGGATTCTCGCAAACGCACTGCGTGCACTCTGGCTGGGATCGGGCTGCCTCGCGCCGCACGCCGTAAGGACAGCGAAGCTCTTGGCACTCGGTCTCGTAGCTGTCGCACTGACCCTGATCCACCTCGTTGTTGGCGTTGTTGTTGTCGACGGGTCCTGCGGAAGGAGAGAGTGGTATTCAGCTGTTCAGTAAGGGCAGCATCACAGTGAAGAGCCCCAATCCCATAACCCGTGCAAGTCTTAAGCCTAGTGAAAGTGCTCTACTCAAAACTACGGATGCAACTTGAAAGTTCTACAAAGTCAAGCGGGTGTTGGGTGAGCGGTCTAAGTGCAACGTGCATTCGGGGGTGTGGATGCAGAGTGCTCTCTGGTGCAGAGGTGTCGAGATTCAGAGGTGCAGAGGTTGGAGGACAGGCTTACTTCCGCACTGATTCGTGCATGCCTCGAATGACCGGAAGTTGTTCTGGTTGCCGGAGCAACCCGAGTAAATAAAGGACACACAGGTGCCGTGGGCATCGTCGTAATACCAACGGCGCTCATCCGTCGAGGGTCCGTTGCAGCGGCCCACCGTCACCGGCAGCAGGCAGATCTCTACTTACGCAAAACGGGAGAAGAGGCAACGTTAGGTCAGCAAATCCTATACCGCCCTGCCCACACAAAAATGTTACCTTTGCCATTGTTAGTCGTCGGCTCGCGGGCCGCTATGCAGACCGTCTGACACTCGTATTGGTTGTCGAAGCGGTTGCCTGTGCCATCGCAGCCACCATAGGTGAAGGGCTCGCAGGCCTGTGTCCGCTGGTTGAAGTAGTAGCGCGTTTGCCACTGGGTACACGGGCCCGTGGACACCGGTTCATGACAAACATCTAACGCAACAGATTAATTTACCTGGAACACTTACTTCCCGCCCCTGATGCCCCGACTTACCCACTCCCTTGAACTCGCCGCATTGCCGCTCGCACTGGTCACGCGACTCGAAGCGGTTTCCGTTTCCGCCGCATCCGCTATAAGTGAATGCCGTACAGGCCATCTTCTCGCCGTCGTAGAACCAAGCGGTGGTGTGGTTGTCGCACTCACCCGCCTCCGGAGCCTGGTCACATACCGAATAGGTCTGAAGGAACACCAATGTCAAGTGATTAATACCAAGGTTAATGCCATGTTCATTTATCGTACTCTTACCGGTGCTGGTGGCTGGGGTTCCACTGGACTCTGATCCCGGCAGTAGGATAAGCACTCTCTCTCGGACACAAAGTTGTTTCGGTTGCCACGGCATCCGGTGAACTCGAACTCGTGGCAGCCGCCAGTGCGCTCGTCAAAGTACCAGCGGCGCGACAAATCTCCGCAACGACCGCGCACAGGTGGCAGGGAGCAGGTGCTCTGGGCGTCGTTGCACTCATTCTGGCACTCCTCCTCGCTGGCATAGTTGTTGGCATTGCCGCCGCAACCGGTGTATACGAACTCGTCGCAGAGCCCGTCCTGGCTATTGTAGAACCAACGGGTCTCATTCTCGTAGCAATTGCCAGGCTCAGATGCCAAGAAGCACTTAGAGTAGTCCGATTCGGGACGCGGCTCTGGTTCTTCTTCGCCAATTCGGTTATCTATGCTGGGAGAGCAGCGGGTAGAGCAATCCTGCTCAGACTCAAAGCGGTTGTCGTTGCCGCCGCAGCCGCCGTAGAAGAACTGCTGACAGCGTCCCGCCGTGGCGTTATAGTTCCACTGGAGCACCCACTCGCCGCATGTACCTGGATCGGCGGGCTGCTCGCACTGACCCACAGAAGGCGGAGGAGGCTGTCTAGATGGGCCAGGAGGCGGAGTAGGAGGCTCCTGCCTGTTGCAACGCTGCAGACAGGCTGCCTCTGAATCGAATCGATTGCCATTGCCGCCACAGCCGCCATAATAGAACTGACGACATGCAGAAGAAGACCGGTCAAAGCTCCACTTGATCTCGTAACGATCGCACTCGCCGACGGCAGCCACTTCGTCACAGATGTCCTGGGCACTGGGTGCCGGGGTGGTGGTGCTCGGCTCTGGCTTGCGCTCGCAACGCGCCAGACAGGACTCCTCGGTGGTAAAGCGGTTCTCGTTGCCACCACAGCCACCGTAGTAGAACTGGCGACAGGTAGCATCCTTGGTGTCATAGTACCAGTTGGCCACGTAGTTAGCGCACTCGCCCACCTCCGCAGGGATCTCGCAGATGTCCTTGGCTGTTGGGGGTTGGGGATGGGCAGAGAGTGTCAGTAGGGCAAGGTGTTTGGGTGGACAGAGACGTGCACCACACATTTAAAGCAACCGCCGGCGGCACACACACAACACATAAAGCTTACCGACTTGCCGCGGGCAGTGGTCCTCGCATGACTCCAGGGTGGGGAAGTTGTTCTTATTGCCACCACAACCCGTGTAGTAGAAGGGCAGGCAGCGCTTCTCCGTCTCAGAGAAGTGCCACTTGGCGAGTCGTTCGCTGCAATCACCGGTTTGCTTAGGAAGCGAGCATTGGTCTGGGTTGGATGGGTTCATGGTGGACGTGGACGTGGACGTGGAGGTGGGTGATGAGGGAGGTTCGGGTGCAGATTCAGGAGGTCGGCATAGCAAGTAACAAGCAATCATGCGCATTGACAATAAACCAAGTAACCAAGCAAGTTTCGGGGGAAAAGGAAAGTGTGGGAAGAACATACCATTAACCAGGATAAGCAATCAGGAGGATCAAGCTTAAGAATACATAATAACCCAAGCAAGGCAAATAGCCAGTAACAAGCCCAACTACCCCACAATACAAGAAAGACATCGCAACATAGTAAATCAGATCTCAAACCTTTGAGCACGCCCGGCTGGCGGCAGTTGTAGCTGCAGGCGTGTTCCGTCGGATAGTTGTTCTTGTTGCCCTTGCAGCCTCCGTAGGTGAAGGGGCGGCAGATATCGGTCTGATTGTCGTAGAACCAGCGTTCAAAGTTTCCGCCGCAAGGTCCGCTCTCCACAGGCTGTTCGCATGCAGCTACACATAAACAAAAAAGACTTTATAATTTATATATAAAAGTCTGGAAGCTATATGGACTAACGGATGCTCTCGCTGATGGCGCAGGTACTCTGGCACTGCTCCAGGCTGTCGAACCGATTGTTGGTGCCATAGCAGCCGCCGTACTGGAACTCCTCGCAGCGATTGCGATCCACATCGAAGTACCACTTCTTGGTGAATCCCGAGCAGGGGCCGGCGCTCTTGGGCAGCAGGCACACGTGCTGTCCGGTATACTCCTGGCATGTGTCCTTGCACTCGGCCTCGCTCTCGAACCGGTTGGCATTGCCCTCGCAGCCACCATACCAGAACCGAGCGCATCCGCCGTAGTTGGTGTCGAAGTAATATTTGACGCTGAAGTTGCCACAAGTACCGGTCTCCTTGGGTAGACCACAGGCCTTCTGGGGCGGCTCCTGGACATTCTCGCAGCCTCCGAATTTCTCATCCGTCGCCGTGCTGACGCCGTCGGGACAGCAGCCGAACTTGGTCTCCAAGCAGGTGCAGCCCTCGAAGTTGGGTCCCTTGGCCGGGGTCTTCTCGTCCTGGCAGCACTTGAATTCCGTCTGGGTGCAGTGGCAACCATGGTGATGCGGACCCTTGGCAAAGGTGAGGCCATCGGGGCAACATCCAAATTGAGTGGTTTCGCACGGGCAACCCTCAAACTTGGGTCCCTTGGCGGCAGTGATCTTGTCCGGGCAGCAACCATGTTGGGTCGTCTCGCAGGCGCAACCCTCCTGGTTGTATCCACGGGCTGGCGACTTCTTGTCGGGACAGCAGCCGTACGGTGTGTAATGACACTCGCAGCCCTCATAGTTGGGTCCGCGGGCGGCCAAGATGTTGTCGGGGCAGCAGCCGAAACTGGAGTCCAGGCAGCAGCCTTCGTTGCTGGGACCGTGGGCCGGAGTCTTTCCGTCCGGACAGCAACCGAAGCGTTCGCGCGTGCAGGCTGAGCAGCCCTGGCCATCGGGACCGGCGGCAGCTGTGCGACCATCGGGACAACAGCCGTGCGGAGACTTGTCACAAGCCCTGGGTTCTGGAACTCCCGACGATTTTGGAGCGTCACAACCTTCGAAGTTGGCTCCCTTGGCGGGCGTTTTGGCATCGGGACAGCAACCAAACTCGGCGTAGGAGCAGGATTTCTCTGACTCTGGCTGTCCTGATCCTTCAATTTCAGTTGTCGTTTCTGGTTTCGATTCCTCGGTAGTAGTTGTGGGTGGCACTGTAGTGGTCTCGGGACATCCTTCGTTATCCTCTCCCTCGGCGGCAGTGAATTTGTCGGGACAGCAGCCGAATAGGGACTCGGCACACTGGGACTTAGGACAACCCTTGTGGTTCTTGCCCTTGGCCGGCGATACTCCATCAAGACAGCAACCGTACTTGGAGTCGGCGCAGGTCTTGACAATGGGACATCCCTCGTCGAAGGGTCCCTTGGGAGTGGACTTGCCGTCCGGACAGCAACCGTACTTAGACTTGGCGCAGTTGCTCTTCTTAGGCTTGCACTTACGAGGCTTGTCCTTGCTAACAGTAGACTCAAAGGTGTAAGGAGTGCTGGATTCGTCATCCTTGTCGGTGGAGCTCCAAATATCGGTGGTGCTGCTTTCGATGTCTGTAGACACAGAACTATCCGTAGATCCTTCTGTTGTGCTGTCGGTAAATCCTTCAGTTGTACTCTCCTCTTTTGGGCCACTTTCAGTTGTGTCACTGGTTCCAGCGCTTTGAGTGCTTTCAGTGGACTCTGTAGCGCCTGTGGAGGAAGCCTCTGATGAGGCTGTGGATTCCGTTGGTTCTGTGGACTCTGTAGGACCAGTTGAAGACGATGCTTCCGATGCAGTGGAATCAGAGGCATCTGTTGAGCTGGTCGATCCGGAAACATCCTCAACGGTGCTGCCCTCGGTGGTCGAGCCATCAGTAGCGGCAGCCTCTGTGCTTTCAGTAGAGCCAGTTTCAGAGGCTTCAGTAGACGCAGTAGATTCGGTAATCACTGTCGAACCATCGATGGTCGTGTCCTCTCCGGATACTCCAGTCGAACCATCAGTGGATCCATCAGAAGTCTTATCAGTAGAATCATCGGTGGTACTAGCCTCTGTCGTTGATCCATCGCTGGACAATCCCGTAGAGCCCGTGACTTCCGAAGAGGAAACTGCTTCGGTGCTAGAAGAGACATCGGCGGTTGAGGAGGCATCAGAGCTTGAGGAGGCATCGCTAGTTGAGGAGGCATCGGTTGTGGACGAGGCATCCGAACTGGTTGTATCCTCTGAGGTGGATTCAGTAGAGGATGAGGAGTCTGTAGATTCAGACGTGGCGCCGGATGTGCTGTCCGAGGAACTCTCCGTAGAGCTGGATAAGTCGGTTTTCTCGGTAGTTGCATCTGCGTTGTCGGTAGACTCGGAACCAGCCACAGTTGAGGATTCACTGCCGTCTGAAGTTTTGTCTGAGGATTCAGTTGCATCATCAGTGGCAGCCGAGTTATCCGTAGCACTATCTGTAGAACCATCCGTAGATCCCGAAGCATCCGTAGAGCCTGATGAGTCCGTAGAGCCTGAAGCATCTGTAGAGCCGGAGACAGAGGCTTCCGTAGAGCTTGAGTCATCTGTGGAGCCACCAGAAACACCTGAAGAGTCGGTGGATACTTCAGTGGAGTCACTAGAGCCAGAGACCGAGGATTCAGGGACTTCAGATGTAGAATCGCTAGAATCGCCAGAGCCTGTGGTAGAGTCGATGTCCGTAGAGCCCGACTGATCGGTGAAGGCATCTGAGGTGGCATCCGAAGTGCTTTCGTCATCACCGCTTCCTTCGGTAGAAATTCCGCTGTCAGTAGTTGATTCCTCATCTCCGGATCCCTCAACTGTGGTGCCAGTCTCATCGATCGGAGTAGAGTCGGGGCTGTCGCTAAGCATAAGTTCCTCCGCCTCAATTGTGGATTCCGTTTTGGATTCACCATCCATGTCAACGCCGTCAGAGCTGTGGTCATCATCCGACAAACTGTCGGTGACCATTTCGATACCATCTTCATCGCAGTCCTCTTCATCGTCTTCGATTGGTTTGTCGGTGCTGGTCAGTGGCAAGATTTCATCTTCAGTGCAGGCTTCAGGATTGCATTTCTCGGATAGAGATTCTACATTTGATTCGTCGCAGTTTATAGCCTTAGTTCCATTTGATAGACACAGGACTTCACGAACTCTCTCTCCCCCGCCGCAAGGCTTGCTGCACTCTCCCCAAGGCCCTGTGAACCATTCTCCAGGACACTCCTTCTCTTCGCCTTCGCACTCCTGTTCCGCCTCCGGCTTCGTTTCCTTGTCACACTTGGAGTCATCGCTGGCTGGAGTCACCGTCTTGCCATCAAACTCTCCGCAGATTACGATGCGAGACTTGACGCCCTTGCCGCAGGCAGCAGAGCACTTGCTCCATTCGGAGGAGAACCATTGCGCCTGGCACTTGGGCGACTTGCAGGGTCGAGATAGTGACGGCACCTCAGGTTCGCAAAACTTTTCCGGATACACCTTGCCTTCCTTGTTGCCGCAGATAGCCGTACGGGTCTCTGTGTTTTGGCCACAAGCATTGCACTGAAAGATAGTAGATTTTAGTATGGAATGTTATGACAGCACGGCGCAATACCAACCCCGCTCCATTGGGAAATAATCCAGTCAACGCCCTCACAAGGCGCCAAGAGGCAGGACTTCTCCACCTCTGGCTTCTCCTCAACGCAATCCTCTTCCGGCAGCACCCGCTTGCGTCCGTTCTCCTTAATGTAACAGGTGACCTTGCGCGTCTGCTTTCCCTCGCCGCAGAGCTTGTCGCAAGGTGTCCAGGGTCCCAGGTGGTACTTGGGGCAGTTCTTGACATCGCGATTGCACTCCTGGGTAGTGGCCGGCTTATTGCCCACCTGCTTCAAGCACACGGCATCCTCTTCAACAGTATGCTCGCTGGAATGCAAGAATCTCAATTAAAACTAATATAAATGTATTTAATCAATAACTAACCCGGAAGAAGATATCCTTTCGCAGGTGACTGTCCTGTTCTGGAACCCATCCGAGCCGCATCCTTTGGAGCACTTGCCCCACTCACCCTCTACCCAGTGGGGGGCACAGGGCTCGGTGCCGCAGGCCTGTTCTTCAGCGGGCCTGGACTTGGCATCGCATAGGGCAGGGTTAACCTCAGCCAGGGTTAGGCGGTTATTGCAGGTCACACCACGCGTCTGAGTTCCACCGCCGCAGGAGGCGGAGCAGGGACTGAATTCGAGGTGCGTCCACGTATGTGTGTCCGGTTCCGAATGACTAAGGGACTCTGGGATGCTGTACTCGTAGTCGAGGCTGATGTTCTTCTCCTGCACTAGCATCACGATGAAGATGCTCTCCGAGATGGGACCGCTGCAAGTCAGCTGGTCGGGGGCCGCGAAGCCCATGGGCTTGCGCTGGTAATTCCACCACGAGTCCGCAAAGAACATGGGACGGGGAAAGTCGATGCGCCAGTCTCCATTCAGGTAGTAGTGTCCACTGTGATTGCGACAGGCCAAGTAGTTACTGGACGGAACCGTTTCCTCGACGCGGATATTGGTGGCGCCCTGAGGCAGGAGAAGCAGATCATTATAGCCAGCGGCCAGATCCTTGGTGGAAATCGTATTGCGGATGGTCTTGCAGGTGCTGCCATCGCCACCGCACTTGCGGCACTTATCCTCCTTGGCATCGCTACCGAGCATCATGTCACAGCCCACGGGCATGCACTGCCCGTCGACGCACACGTCCAGATCCTTGTCATTGCACCGGGTTCCGTCCACCACCTTCTCCTTTTGCCTGTAGTAGAACCGCTCGCCCTTGGGCATGCAGTTCAGCTCACACGGATTGGGCGCATTCGTGTATGGGACCCACTCGTGGAAAATGCCATCGAACTTCTGGTCATCGAAGCGAGAGCACTGCAGGGCCCGGAAGTCGGGATCCTCCTCGGGACAGTCCTGAGTGTTGCAGGAGTAGTAGCGACGATTGCCGCCGCTGCACACTGCCTCACCATAGTTGCTAAAACAAATATTATAATTAAATTGCATTTGGCTTATTATTAGTTTGTATACTCACTCTCGGCGCAGACATTCTCGCGTCTGGTAGGACACGCCTCCGCCGCAGGTTCGGGAACAGTCTGAGGGCGAGCTCCAGTCGGACCACTCGCTCGGATCATCACCTTCTCCGCCTGGCGTCACGGAGCTCTCCGGAAGATACATATTCGCGCCATACTGTCGTTTCTGTCTTAGTCCGGGCTGCAAGAAAGGAGTTTCGAAGGATCAAGGACAAGGTTCTCCCCAATCAATAGCGACTATTACTTACGAATCTGCTCTGGGAGTCGTGGATGCCGGCTAGGACAATGAATGCTACCAAGGCAGTTGAGCTGCAAGGGAAAAGAAAAGCTAAATTAGTGAAAGCCAACCATCTCTATCCCATTCATTAAAACCATGGAACCAGAGTCACGTGTTGACTTGTTGCACATATTTGTTGACTTCGTCGCATGCTTGGACAAACTCATTAGGGAAGCAACAAGCTGTTCTCCTCGAGAGGTTGGGCGGGGGAGGTATCGCCTCGATGTCGGGACAGAGTGGGACAGACTTTCTCAAAAGACCGGGCCACAGCGCGTCCAGCGAAGGGGCACAAACAAACTTTGTGGGGCTTCGCGGCGGCAAGATGATGAACTTGTTTATGCTCGCCGGGCCAGAGCAAGCAAACATTGAACTTGTTTTTGCAGCAGCGGTGGGTCTTGGGATGGCGGAAAGAATGGGACTTGGTCAAGTAACATTTGCAATGTCTTCTTCGGTAACAGTTTTTTATTATGCGCCGCCGCACGGACCATAAATATGCAATGCCACATAAACAAGACATAATTTAGCAGCGCTTCCTGCCGATTTGCCAAAAAGAAGGCACCAAGTAGTCCAAGGCGACCAAGGAGAAGATGCCCGGGAAAATAATAAGTACCGTGCCCGGGAATATACGATTATGCCGCAGACAATCCGACGCCGCAGTCTGTGTGACTTTTACGGTGCAGAGAGAGGAGCAGGACCTGCCCGAGGACAAAAGTTGCATGAATATGTCAAAGGCGCTCAATGTTGCAGGCAACGCTGCATCCATTGTTGGGGGCTTGCCAATTTAATTTCTGACGCTGCGTGAGGGGAGTTGCCTTCGCTTCGTTCCGCTTGGACGCCTCCGACTGATGGCGCGCTCCGCCTCCGGCTGTCCCTGATATGGTCTTGGTCCTTGGTCCTTAGTCGGTCGCCTGCGTTCGCCTTGCCACAGCAGGCGTGCTGCTTATGACAGGGCGCCAAGTGTGGCCATAATTTTTATGCTTCTGTGTTGGCATTTTAATGCAATTTGAGCGCATTTCCCTTTTGAAACCAATGCCAGGACACCTATTGCTTTGGCAAGGACAACGGCAAACCGACAACCGACAACGGCACACATTTCACAGTCCATTGAGCTCGCCGCGAGGGCAGGCGGGGCGGCGTCTCCCAGTCGCCTGCCTCCTCCGGCAAGCATTGCGTCATGCAAACAGGACAACCAGGACCAGCTCCATTAATTGGCCAGTTCCAAGGGAACTGCTGAGGCGGCAGAAACCACAAGAGCTGAAGCAGGAGCGTCCTCCGTTCTTGATTTCAATTTTATACGCGACGACGACGACGACGGCAGAGGCTGCTGATTACGCAAAATCCTCCCGACCAAAGCAGTTCCGGACCGGGGGAAAAACATTGTTATTGCCACATGCGGCGGATGCCACGTGACACGCGGACAAACATCGAGTGAGTGAGTTACACATGTCATGTCGAACGCCACCGCCGAAATGTCAAACAAACAGAGGAAATGCTAAGTTCGGCGGAAACTTTACGATAATACCATATACCAATGTCTGGAGGCGGCGGGACCCCAGTCCTCAGTCCCAAATCCCTGACCCCGTTCTCTGGCCCTGATATATGACCAGGATTTGGAATAGCTACGAGATCAAAGTCAATTAGCGGGCCGGGGCCAGAAATAGAGCCGCTTAAACAGTCTCTCAGCCCAGCGGCATTGTTCATTGTGCATTGTTCAGGCCGCATTACAATGGACTGCTCTAAGCGGTGATAATATTTTAAGAGGCAATCCCTGCATACAAGCGGAGAGAGTGCTCCCTTATGCTCCCAGCAGCCTCCACAATTGTAGCCATTATCAGTCAACTTGAACAAATGCAGCGTGGATGCGAATCCGGGCCACAGATACACACAAACTATGGGATACACTCTCTCCAGTAGCTCCAAGTGGATAGAAAATAGAAGATATGCAGCCATGCCGGAGATATTTTCATGATCGTGTAATTGCATTCAAATGCCTGGCATGCAACAAGTGCATTCTGAGGGATAGGAGGTACACTCTAAAAAACTAAAACTAAAACTTAATTGTTTTAAAGTAAAGTCATTGAAAACAATATAACTATAATAACTAGAAGAAAAAATAAGATAATTTCGCGATGAAAATGATCATAACTATTGGCTTAGTGCATTAATTTCAATTCGAAAACCGTTCCTATGCTAGTTTTTATTAGGGTAATAAATCTGCATACTCAACTTAAATTTTGTAAAAATTAAAGTTTTTGTTGATTTTTGACAATTTTAATGATGTAACCCCTTATAAAAATTTCAAAAATTTGAAAAAAATTAATTTTTGCCGGACATAGCCAGACCGATTCAGCTTTTTATTCTGATCAATAATATATATGATTTATAGGGTCGGATATGACTCCTTCACTGCGTTTGAAGCTGCTGACTAAAAATATAATACCCTGCAGTGGTATCTGATACAATTTAGGGGTTAAAATTGACATAGAAAATCATTTATTCTTAAAGTGGGAATACTATATTTTATTTTGTTCACAAATTAGTCTGGATGTCTCTTGTGACCTATTAAAGTATTTTCTTCTAAGTATTGCTAATGACAAATTTTACTTTGAATGCAATATGAATGCTGTGATCATGAATATTTGTAAACATAAATATGTTACCTTTATTATAAATCTTTTATCTGAGTTTTCTCTCATGTGGTTTTTATTCATGAACATTAAAACATACCAGAGGTAGTTGATTTTATTTTCCATCATTAATAAATACAAATCTCTCTGTGTAGAATGTTGCAATGACTGTCGTAAATAAACGCGCCTGCTAATGAGCCGCAAGCAGAATCTACGAGTATCTGCGCCACTTACTCCACAAGTGCGTGCACTTAGCCGCCAAACTCAAGACCGAAAACAAATTACGGATCATTTTATGCCAAACAAAATGTAATCTCTAAGTTAACCCCAAAATAAGCTCCAAATCCAAACAACCGCCCGCTTCAGCACATATAAATTCTGACCAGATTTCACACCTGTCCATTGATACTTTGTGTGTGTTTCTTTGTTTACATGACTCATCCTCGAGGTCGATACCGTGGAAGAACTATTTAGTGGTGACTAGCATGGAGTGATTCCCCGAGCCTTTCCCATGCCAATTGATCAAGGTCCACAGCTTCCGAAGATGCAGTTCCATCAAGTCAATCGAAAGTCGTGGCATGCCACAGTTGCCCCTTTGATGAGGATGGTATGCCCATGGTTCCCAGCTCTGTAGCAGCTGCAACCATTTGACTTTTGCTGGCCCCCTTTCGCTTTTAATGTAGATTGTAAAAAAAAAGAAAAGGAATTTCTTGCTGCAAATGCAACTGATTTAATTGCTGCAACTGAAAGTGCGTATAAATACACCCCACTTGCGGCGTTGCAGAATTTGATTGAGCATCTGGAGGCAGTATATGAAGCAGTAGATAAATACTAAATGTGTGGCAGTAAAAGAAGCAGCCAAAGATAACTCATCAAAATTAAGCATTAAATAGGGTACAACATAATATCATTAGTTTTTTATACCTTTACAGGGTATATATATAGGACGACTACATCAAATATAATATAACTGCTAGAGAAACGGTTTTTAAATGTAGAGGATCAGTAAGTGCCTCACAACAGCAAGTATCTTTGAACAGAAAGTCTCTATAAACATTAAGAACCTATAATCAGTAAGTATCTATGATCAGTAATTAACTTTGAGAAGGAAGTATTGTAAGTCTCTTTGAACATTGAGTAACTCTGAACAGTGAGAGTATCTATGACTAGTAAGTATCTATGACCAGTAAGTATCTATGATCAGTAACTAACTTTGAACACTAATAAACAATGACTTGCAACTTTTGTAACACAACACATATTTGAGACTTGACTGGCAGAAGCCACTTCGTTCCGGGGAAGTTAGAACCAGTTGGGAATCATATGTACGAGATTTTTGTGCGAGATTAACTATTATGAGTAAGTATCAACTATGATTAGTAAGTATCAATGGACAGTAATTAACTTTGACCAGGAAGTATCTATGAAGAGTAAGTAAATTTGAACAATAAGAAACGATGATCAGGAAGTATGATATAATTATATAATTTGATATAATTATTTAATTTCTTCTTTAATTATTCTCTTCCTAAATCATCCGAGATTTAGGTTAATATTTAATTTAAAAAGTAAACCTTAATTGATAAACATATTCTAAAGGCCTACAGCCAGTCCTAATCAGCTCAGTTTTATTTGTTATGCGATTTAGGCAGCAATTAGGCACGGATCCAGCTCATTAGTTGCAGGGATTAGTACCTTATACACACGCACACCTGCCCACGTTTGCTCAAATACAATTACATAGTCACACAATTATCGAAAGACAAACACAGACTAATGCAAAACGCCAAATTGTGGCTGAGGTGTGGCCAGGTAAAGGCCCATGTTGCTGTTGCTGTTACTGCTGCCGCTCCTGCCGATGCTGTGGCTGCTGATGATGATGATGACTCTATGCCGGAGGAGCGACGACGGCGACGACATTTGTTGCAACGGAAGTAAATGTTTGCATTGTTGAAATTTTAATTGCATTTGCATAAAGCAACGCACACTCACACACAGAGGTGGTGGGAGCAACATGCACAGATCTCCTCTGATGCAGCAAACCTCCCACCCGCACCCAGTTGCAAGTTGCTGCTGCCATTTTGACTGGCAGCCAAACACTTGCACAGCCCGGTCGAGCAATTATCAATTTCCAAATTAATTTAACTTAATTGAGTAGTGAAAATAATAAACACACGCATGGAGAGAGTGCCTTTGCCCCCGAGTGTTTAGCAAACGCAGACTGTTGCTGGGGAGAGAGGCTGTGAGATTATGCAACATTCTGGCTTTGCTTACAGAGTTGCAGTGCTTTTGGGGCCAAAAGGCACAACAAAGTTGGCTCAAATGCTGCCTAATGAAATATTTGCCACGCGCTTCGGCCGAAATGAGCAAACAGAATGCATAGTAAGGCGAAGACAGAGGCGGCTAGAAAGGGAAATAGTTTCACTGAGTTTCACTTGGCCAACTTACTGACCCATAAATTTCAGTGGCCGTCAGGCGATGGCAACTAAATGTTCGGCTTGTAAACAAATTTTTACGGCCCATGGTGCAGCAGCAACAGCATCGGGAGTCGAGCTGCCACAGCTAATTAGAGGCATCATAATGCCGCTGTCGCGATTCCGCACACACACTATCCCTGCCCAAAGAGCCACCTCCTCCTACCCAACCAAACATTGGCAATTTTCTATTTACCCAACCCATTCGGGTTGAGATTCGCAACAAGATGCTTGACTTGTATTGTATTCACTTAAGGCTAATAGCACTCGAGCGGGCCCAGAAACATCAACTTTTGCACTCTCTCGAACTTTGCACTCACCTGCGAGCAGGTGGGAGAGTTATTAATCAGGTCTCTGTGTAAACATTTTAGCGCCCAGTTGTGATAAAAAAAGGCAAGATAGAAAAAATCGCTCACAGGATGCCAAATGAGCTTTCAGCGCTTAATTAACAGGCAACTATTTGGATGCCTAATAAACCGAATGCGAATAAAAAAAACCCGGAAAAGTAAATAAGACTCGCTGAATTTTTTGCTTCACTTGAATGCTATTCTGGGAAATGCTGCTTTTTATAGAAATTAAGTTATGTTGGATCATAATTTCTGCGCTGCCAACTTGGGGAAAGAACTTGGATACATTTGTAATAAACCGAATAATTTATAAACAAATTATAATAGAAATATCTGACGTAATTTCTACAACTTGTCGGAATCTAAGGCAAACAATGACCAGGCTCCGATGCCTGACGCACACAAATTTCGGTTATTTATAATAGCCTTCCAAGTGGAATGGTAACCCGTCCAATTGCTTTAAATTGTATCTTGTCAGCAAGTACCTGACGGATAAAATGTGGAGCAGACATTGATTTATAGCGCAATTACGGGTGCGTTCATTGTTTCGGAGGCAGTGGCTTCTCTGTTCCTCTGTTGCAGATTGGAAGCTCAGAAGCTGCGATGTCAAGTTCGGCAAAGGGTTAAGAGATCCTGCGTCCCTGACCCTTCAAGAGCCCCCAATTTGGATTGCACTCCGTTCATTTGCTGTCATCAAGATGCGCATCACGTTCCCAAGAACACCCCGGCAACCGATCGTCGCCTGTCGTCCGTCAAAACATTTTTATGGGTTTTATTTTTTTGGTCGTTTGCTTTGGCCTGGCTGGCGGCGAATATTTCACTTGTTGCTGCTATACAGAGAGAGAAAAATATTAGCTTATCCTGGGATATATAGGTTTTACCTTTGGCTAAAGCTTGTATAGGTTTTTGAGGAATTTTAATTAAAGTTTCTGTGAGGTTTTAAAGATAAGTTGTGTCTTGAATGTGTGTTTGATGTATGATGCTGTATAAGTTATTGTAAGAATGTTAATGCAACAGTAACTCTCTGTAACTTGTTAAATTGTTAACCAACTACAAATTGTATCTTTTATAAGTATCTTCAAGTTTTTCTGTGTGCTTCTGCCCCTTTCCTTTTCGTTTCACCTCCCATCTCTGTGGCTCCCTGGTTTCAGGCAGAACTTTTTAGGCACATTTAACTGCATGTGACGCATCGTTTGGTTCCTCCTTGTTGAATCTGCAGAATTTTTGGATATTCTCGCAGCCGTGCCATGGTTGTTGCCGCTTTGTATTATTCGTTTTTGGGAGTTCGGAGTTTTGTATCTTATTCTCTGCCTCTGCAATTTTGAGGCGGCATATTTTGGGGCATCCTTTTTATCTTCCGCGTTGGCAGGGTGCATCGACCCCGTCTGCGGCTGATCGATCCGTATCTATGTATATCTGTGGCACTGCCCGGGTATTTGCCCCTTTTCGCATTTATTTATGATTTAGCGCTGGACTATGGCTATGGCACAATTAAACACCGCCCCGTCGTCGTCATCGTCGTCGGCAGCTTTGGTTAATTAAGCATAAGACATTAAGTCATGGGAACGCGTTGTGCGAGAGGCAGATATTGCAGATATTAACCCTGCTGCCACAGGGGGTCCGTTCTGCGATCCGATCCGATCCGCAGCACATGTGGCCAATGCAGCGTGCAACATTGCCGCCATGAACTTGGGAGGTAATTGAGCCGTGGAAGGACTGCACCCATGGAACAAGGAATGCGTTTGTCCAAAGGGGCAAGCACTGGGCATAATTTGCAGCTCATTTGCCGCATCATTCGATATTCTCGTAAAAAATAAATCCAGCCCCAGTCCCAGCCCCGGCGAGACACATTTCCGGTGGATTTTCGCCCCCAACCAAGTACCAGAATGTGCATATTCTGCACACACTCTGTGCTTTGGGCACCCACTTGGTTAGATCAACATTTGGCTTTCCGACTTATTTATAGCCGTTAAGGATCAATTATGCAATGCCCGTGTTTATAACCGCCTCGTGTTCATGATTTTTCCATTTTCCATAAGATGTGGCTAGTGGCTAGTTCTGGTTTCAAGGCAACACGCTCTGCGTGTATCATTTCCCAAGCATAAATTTTCAAAAATTCACTGTTTATACTCGCCCAGATCACACTCAATAAACAATTTGGCCCAGCAACTATGTTAGTGTTATTATTGTTGTTATTCTTGCTGCATCCACATTTTCCTGCCTAGGGTTGTTGTTGCTAGACCAAATTTAGTGTTTTCCGCGGAATATTATACTTGAAACATAACAAACAAGTGTGGTTAAAAGTTGATCGGCCAAAGGTAAGGCCTTATATTTAGATTGAGCAATCTTATTGAATACACAAGACCCCATTTTTTCGAATTTCTTTTGATTTCCCAGAAAGACTGATGCGCTGTTCGAATTCTTCTCGGATCGACATCCAGCCTCAGCTGGAGTCAAGTTCAAAGACGTCACGAGTCACAAAGTTTGGCTTAATGTAAGCTTCATTGCGGCCACTTAATGGCCACACACACAAGATACTCGCGTTAAAACGTTTAGTTTGTACCATTAAACTACAGACATAATGATGTCCATAGGTATCTCAGGTATCTGAGTGTTGACCCGCCTGGACCTGGGCGGGACAGCGTTATTTCCCCGCCGCCTGGTGGATACTCTTCCTATAGCGAAAAGTTGCTTTCAAGTTGATTTTCAATTATAAAATCCGGCTTTTTTATCAGTGGAATATTTTACCAAATTCTCAAGAACTTTTCCATTAAAAAAATCACAGAAATTGTGCTAGGAAAAACTATGATTTCCTGCGAATTGTGATTAGGCCCAGATACCAGGCACATGTCCCCAAAAACGTTGGCTAACGGGTCATGTGTTGGCCATATTTTATTATTCGTAGACAGAACAAAAGCCGAACAAGCTAAGATATTTGACAAGGGACAGTGGACCAGAGAGAGATTTTCGTTTTCAAGTGCCTAACGCACAATTTTCGCAAAAAATAACTTAAAAAAAAAAAAAAGGAAAAACAAAAAACTTGACGAATGGATGCGCTAACTGCCAGTTGGGCAGCCAGGGAACAAGTTTCTGGCCCCTTTTTACGAGACGGCGACTTTATGGCTTTGGCTTGGCCAAAAATAAAACGCACGCAACGCCGCTGCGGTCAATGGGCTGGAGATTCTGGCCAAGAGATAGGTCGAGCATGTGCGTGAGAGCAGCCGGGGAGTACCTCAGCTGCCGCTGTCAACTTTGAACCGCCCTGACTGGTATCTCTGGCCGCGTCTTCATTGGAGGAGCACTTCCTCCGCCGGAGAGGAGGGCACTTCAAAGCGCACGCACTTCACCTACGCTGGGCAGCCAGTATTCGAACGCAACTCTTTGGGATAAATATTTACATTTCGATTTGAAAATTTGATTTGGTTTCCATTTTTTTCTATCTTTTTTGGTTTTTTTGTGGAATCGCACACACATTTGGAGAGCCAACAAAGGCAGTGGTGGAGACCTGTCGACGAGTTGCAGGTGAGGTAATGGCATGGTTTCTGGACCACCGTTTGAAGTAATCGTGCTGCCGGAAATTGAGATGTTAAAAGGGGCAGTTGATTGAGCTAGCTGCTGGCCATTCCCAAGAAAAATTAGCTAACTAATGCTGCTGATTTTCCCCCGATTGGTTTAATTTTATTTATTTAAATTCCCCTCTGGTAAGGATCTGAATCTGAAATAACCATCACTTTTCATACAACTTGGGGGCTTAATTGCTAATGGAAATATGTATTCTGCCAGGACGATGCCAATCAGGGCGTACCCACTGGCACATTAAGAGAGCTTTGAAAACGCTTTGAAAAATGTTGCAATTTTCATTAACAAACTTCAATTAAGTTGGCAATGTAATTTGGCATGCAAACAGAATGCTGGCCAGGATAATGGCAGTCGCGCAGAGTCAACATCGGAGCGGAAAGGAGCGAAGCAGAGCGCCTGTTGCACACTCAGCACGTAGCCAGGACATTGGCAGCACCTCCGCCCACATCTGCACAGCCGCACATGTGGACAGGACCCTCTCAGAGGACGAGAGCGAAGGGGACCAGCAGAAGCAGTCAGTCGGGAGCCGTGTCAAGTGTTTGCCCATGTAATTCAAACGGAATTAAAATTCCCATTGACACAGTAATTTGTTGGCTACACAAAGGGAATCAATTTCAGGGATTGCAGCGCCACATCCGTCGCGTTCGAATGGATACATGTTTGTTGGATGCTTACCACAACCGCCTCGATAAATCCATTTTGCGGCTCCTTGGTATCGCCTCTCGCTCACTCTCTGTCTCGCTTGGCGGCGTAAAATCGCGGCTATAATGTTGGCAGTTATTTGTATCAAACACACAGTCAGGCACTCGAGAATCCCCACTTGAGTTTTAATTATTTGGAACACTTGTCACTTGGGCTGGACACTTTGCGCCTGCGCATTGCCGCAGGACGTTCGCGTAACGGTCACGTATTGGTTAGGGTCCTCGCAAGGAAGTCGTCGACGAACTCGTTCTTCTTCTCGATCGACACACACCCGCAGGGTTAGAGCGCACGCCAGCAACTGATCGAGTCGGAGCGTATACGATCGCTCTAATTCTGTTCCACTGCCAGCAGAAGCAACAGCAGCAGCAGCAACATTGAAAGCAGCAGCAGCAGCAGCGGCAGCAACACATACGATAGCTGGAGCTGTGGCTGTGGCTGTGGCTGTAGCAAAAGCCAGAGCGATAGCGCCACAAAGGACGGCTTCCGCCCCTCTAATCGCACCCGAATTGAAGGGGTTCCGATCTGGGGCTTCTGCTGCTGTGGCAACTCTTGCTTGTTGCTGTGGGGCTTAGCCAAAGTCGTCTTTCTATATATGCTATAAATCTGGCGAGTTTATGGGCCCTGCGATGCGACATACGACATCCGAGATCGGAGATCTGAGATCCTTTGCCAACCGGCCTCCACTGGGCTCTGCAGACGAATGCGGTTTCTGCACTCTTCATCGCTCAGCGATCGCTGGCTGCAACTGGTTCTCCATCAACTCTCACTGATCTCCATGCCCTGCACGTGTGCGAAGCTGCAAAGTGATTTACTGGCCCTGCCCTGCCTCCTCTTCACTCCCTGTCGAGATCTGTCGGCGGTACTAATGAGCCGCCGCTACCAACACATGGCGTCCGTGATCCTTGGCTATCCTTCGGGTTAATTGCTGGTAACATGTGTGTTCACTGCCGATGTGTTTACTCTGATTTCCAGCCTCCAGTTTCACACACAATTTTCGGGCATCCGATCCATGGTGGAATAATTGCAGTCTGGCATTGCTCTGAGCGTCATTGCCGCTGGATATCAGTTGGCTCGCGGCATCGATTTCATGAAATTCAAAGAGTATTTCATTCATGAAATGCTCAGAAGTCTGAACGATGATTTCCGCATTCCAAATGCCAGAATAAAAACTATATATAGTTATGTATCTAAAAACCCAATCTCAACCACAAGTATTTCCGCCGAAAATGAATGCTGATAATGTCCAGAATTTGAAAAGCTCGAAAAAAGGCGGTTCGAATTTGAAGAGGGAGCTTGAGCTTAACCAGAGAATCGGTTATATAAGTCTGACTGACATTACATTCTATTTTTACAAACGCCGACTTATCAGGACTTGGCCAGGGAAAGTCGGCCTCCAGTTACTTAATAAGTAGCTACGCAAAAAAAAATATAACAGAATAATTATCCACATTTCAAGGCGAGTCACTGGAACGATTAGCGATATATGGAACGCACTTGATATTATATAAATTTTGCACACTCATATATAACATATGCATGCATGGAGTACAGGGCGTGAAATATAAAAAAGGCATTCCATTCATAAATGTAGGACTAGGCTCTAATTGGCTGCGGCTCAGCGGAAGCCAGCTATCTGCAAGAAGTCGCTCTGGTCTACGGCCGCCGCTGCCTCCAATTAGCATAGTGCTGACCCATTTAAAGCCCAGCTTCCGTCATGGGGATAGCCAGGGGCGCTTCTGCCACTGTCGCTCTCCCTTATCGCGGCAAGTTCCGCCGCCCGAATCGCTGCTATATCGGTATCCTAAGCGCTAAGCATGTGGGTGAAGGGTGGCAGTGGGATCAACAGGAAGTCGGATAGTGGTTTGTTTTATATAAACAGTAAGTATTTAAATGAAAACTATAGATACAATATACAAAGGCGATAACAGAGTCACTCGCTGGCAGTTAGAAACCTGGATCCCAGTCCGTTTGCTGGGCCTCCATGTGCGTGGTGTAGCACTGCAGGATGTCGCCGGGCTGGGGCATCACCTTGGTGTCCCTAAAACGCAGTCCACACTCCACATCCTTCTTTATTGTGTCCACCTCGTTCTTCAAGTGCCTCATGGACTCCAATGGACCATCGTAAACTATTTCTCCATCACGCAGCAAGCGGAACTTTTGTGCCTTTTTGAGCAAACCCTTGGTGCAGCGACAGCCAGCCACGGGAACCTCCTTGCGGCCCTCGTTGATAAGGAAGTTCTGCAGAACATTCGCCTCGCCCAGAACCTCCTCTACCTCTACGGGTGGTAACTTGCTGCTCAGCTGCTCCTTTAGATCGTCAATCAGGCGGTAGATGATATTGTAGCTGCGCACGTTGACATCTTTGGCGGCCTTAGGCTGGGGGACCTCTACCGCGAAGGCATAGATAATGGCATCGAAGGCCTTGGCCAGCTCGAGATCTCCCTCGGTCACGTTGCCCACGCCGTAGTGCACGATGTCCAGACGGCAGCTGTCGTTGCTGCTGTATGTCTCGAGGACATCCAGTATGGCCTCCACTGAACCATGCACATCGCCTTTGATAATGACACTGACCCGTGGCTTGCCTTCATTATCATCCAGCTGCTTAACCCGTTGGCCACCGCGGACCCGGAAGCGTCCTGCCAGACGACGAGCCTCTCGATCCGCCCGATACTTGGCCTGGTGCTCCTCCTCTTTCCTGCGTATATCATCACTACTGGACTCCACTTTCTCTCGCTGAGCCTCATGCTCGCGAAACTTGAGCACGGCATGGGCTTTTTTCTCAGTTTCCACTTCGAGTATGAGATCCCCGGCAAGGGGCAGTTCGCGCCAGCCGAGGATTTCCACGGGAGTGCCCGGTGGAGCCTCGCTCAGTGGCTGGCCATTGTGATCGAACAGACCGCGCACCTTGGCATGCGACAGACCGCTCAGTAGCACGGCACCCTTGCGAAGCGTGCCACGTGAGACAATAGCCGTGGAGAGCTTTCCACGTCGCGGATCGGTCTTGGACTCCACCACGATTCCCTCGACTAAGCCTGTGGGATCAGACCTAAGTCCCATTAGAGTGGCCTGGGTGCTGACGGCTTCCGCTAGTAGCTGCAGGTTGGTGCCCTTGAGGGCAGAGATCGGTATCACTTGGACATCGCCACCATGCTCCTCAAGAGCAAGGCCCATTTGTGCCAGTTCCCGCTTGCTCTTCTCCTGTAATGGGAAAGTACTTTATAGTTTTCAACATTGAATAATATTTATTTAAACTCACAATATTCGCCTCGGGCTTGTCGATCTTGTTGAGGGCCACAATGATGGGAACCTGAGCCTCCTTGGCCAGCTGAATGACCTCTCTTGTTTGCGCCATGACGCCATCCTCGGCGGCCACCACAAGGACTATAATATCCGTGGCCACGGCTCCCCGAGCTCTCATTGCGCTGAAGGCGGCGTGTCCCGGAGTGTCCAGGAACGTGACCCGCTCGCCGTTTTCCAGGGTGACTGTGAAAGCGCCAATGTGCTGCGTAATTCCGCCCGCCTCGCCGCCAGCCACATCAGCGCCCCGCAATGAGTCCAGGAGCGTGGTCTTTCCATGATCTACGTGACCCATCACAGTGACTACTGGCGGCCGGGGCTGTAGTAACTCCGGTGGCGCAGGAGGTCGGGGAGCCACGTCGCGCTCCCTCTGATCATCCTCGTTGGCCGACTCAGGGGTAGCCACCACTCGGGTCTTGGCTCCCAGCTTCTTTGCTATTTCCTGGATGATCTTGAGATCCGGCAGCTTGGCATCAGCCTCTATGTTGTCGGCCCCTTTCACATACAGCATTGCCTCTTGGACGTCATCTGTGGATAAAAAAATACACCTTATCAAAAGATTCCATTGGAGGATTAGTACTCACCCAACGGTCGGTCCAGCTCCTTGGCTAATTGGGCCACGCTCATGTGCCGCCAGATATCCGAGGCCACTTCCTGCGCCTTCTTGGGGGAGTACTCTATGATTCTAGGGGATTTCTACATCGATTAGTGAGTGTGTCCTCCGCGGGGAACGGGTTAATGGAATGTCCCATTTCGCCCTGCTCTTTAAGTCCAGTGCTTGTCAAACTCACCTTCTCCTCGGCTGTTTTCCGGCGTTTCAAGTTCGCCGCGCTCACATGGAAGCCTCGCCATGCCGCCGGCGGGTGTTGGCAGTGCGTGACAACTCGGCATGAGTAAAGGGTATTTGCCAGTCGACTCAGGCAACTGATTCGAAGCATTTTCTATTGTTTATATTAGTTTTTTCATTGATTTTTAAGTTAACTTTTATCGCGTAACAGCTGCGGCGCAAGTGTGGCAGTCTGATATTTCCTGAAAGACGTTGAACGTGACGTTAGAAACTGGTCACACTTAAATAAAACACTTGTTACTTTGGCCTTGCCAGACCGTGCAAGAACTCTTCACCAGTTTTTACAAATTGATTACAGATATTAACAGGAAAACCCTTTTTAAATTATTATGCTAGATTTTGTATTCCACAGAACACGTCGATAATACATTGCATATTACCGTCTGAATTCATATAAGCCCACGTAAAGAGTATGTAAAACGTTTTTGCTAACAACACTAGCGCCCCATGTGCTCGTTTTAGGAAATTGTTAGTGTAATAATATCAGAGCTAGGGGTCACCAATGTCAGGGTAAAATAGAGCGCGAAATAAATGTCAAATATTTTTTACTGTAAAAGCCGTTTTCTTCTTAATTTTTAAATTTTATTTTTTTATATTTTTGATTTATTAAAGTATAGACATTGTACTGCAATTTTTTCAAAAAGAGACAAGCCAAATGATTTAAAAAATATTTCCTGAATCTTTCAGCATTTCAGTACCCTGTGCTTTGAATAATAGTTAAATATGAATTATGGTCCTTTGCGCGTCCTTTAAATTGCCCCTCTAAGCGTCCTGCGTGAGTGTCAATCAGTGCCAATGGGGCTTCAACTTCAGCTGGCAGCTAGTTTGACGGGCCTCTGCCTGGGATTCCAGGCTCTCGAGGAGCGGAGCGGAGCCCGGCCGGCCCTGCTCTCGTGACTGGCGCTGAATGCCACTTAATTCGGTTTTGAAGCGAGTTGCATGTCAAAATGATTGCTCTTCTGCAAACAGCGCATCTGTGTTTGAATTATGATGGAGCGCGCAAATATTCCAGATGCAAATATTTGCGCAAAACTACACACACGCACACAGCCAGCCAGCTAGTGACTTGAAGTGCGGAGCTGGCCAGGACACGGATACAGAAACAGATACAGGACCGGGAGCAGGACACCCTGGGACAGTGCTGCCTACAAAGAGGTCAAGAAGTTGCCTTTAATATGTATATTTAAAGTGCAGAAAGCATAAGTAATAATTAAGAATAATAACTTCCCTATTTAACATTTACAATGAAACTCAAAAATTATGGTTCCTAATATTTCTCTAGGCTATCTTGTATAACAGAGGCCCCTTAAAAATAAATCCTGTCCGGAAAAAGGACAAACTAACAGCTCTGGCCGGAACTGGCCCCCTACGCAGGCGACTAATGGCAGGCGTGCTACGTTGGCAGCGCCAAGCACTTTTCAAAATGTGTAACCGGCACTGACTGACTTTCAGCCCAGGACGAGGAGCAGAAGCAAGAGCAGGAGCAGGAGCAGCAGCAGGACTCGTTTGGCCGGAGCCAACACTCGGTGGTGGTGGTGGTGGTGCATCCGCTGCCGGAAATACGCTTACAAACGCAACCAGCACGTACACGGCGGCATGGGGAGGGGCCAGTACCCTTGCCAGTACCGCCTCGTCCTGCCATCCTGCCCTACCTTCTATGTATATCATCCTCGCCTGCCGTCGTCGTCCATCGTCTGTTTACTTTGCAGCGCTGAAGACGCCGGCTGCGACGCAAAGAACTCAAACAAAATATAACTGTTGGAAGAAGCTGCTGCCGCTGCTGTTGCTGCTGCTGCTGCAAGGACGATGAGGGGGCAGCGTGCACAGAAAAAGTTTACAATTTATCTAGTAAAATGTAATTAGGATCCTGGCTGCAGCCCCCATCTCCTGGATGGCTTCAAGATGGCTCCGGGATTTAAGTGCGTGCAACTTTTGGTGCTTTCAGCTGCTAAGCTTAAAGTTGGGAGATTCGAAGGATTAAGGAAGTGTTGATGATAGTTTCAATATATATTCATTTTTATTCCTCTTATAATAATACAAAAATTAAGCTTTTATTATAATAAGATTATAGGAAATTTTAGTTACTTCTTGTTTTAACTCTTAGATATAATAATTAAGTAATTAAAAAAATAAATAAAATAAAAAAAGATAGCTTTGAATAATATCTTTAATTATTATAGAATTTGGTTTTTAGTTTTATGAAAATCGGAATACTATATAATATAACTGCCAGAGGTTGTCAAATGTAGATGATCAGTAAGTATCTTTAAATATTAAGTAACTATGAACAGTAAGTAACTATTATCAGTAATTAACTGTGATCAGTAAGTATCTATGATCAGTAAGTATCTTTGATCAGTAATTAACTCTAAACCGTAAGTATCTTTGAACAGTAAGTCTCTATGAAAATTAAGTATCTATGAGTAGTAAGTATCAGTACCTAACTTTGAACACTAATAAACAAGGACTTGCAACTTTTGTAACACAACTCACTTCTGAGACTAGGCTGGTAGAAGTCACTTCGTTCCACGGATGTTAGAACCAGTTGGGAATCATATGTACGAGATTTTTGAGCGAGATTTGTTTTGGCACAAATTTAATTGCAATCTATTTGAATGAAAATTTGCAGTTATTCTCCTATATAATTTTACTAGTGTATAAGTCGGAGCATGGCGAATCGGTGGACTATATATATAGATATATATAGCTGACATAGGAACAATCGGACGATTTCTAGAACTATGATCAGTAATTAACTATGATTAGTAAGTATCAATGGACAGTAATTAACTTTGACCAGGAAGAATCTATGAAGAGTAAGTAAATCTGAACAATAAGAAACGATGATCAGGAAGTATGACCAGTAATTTACTTTGAACACTAATAAACAATGACTTGCAACTTTTGTATCACAACACACTTCTGATGCTTGGCCGGCAGAACTCACTTCGTTCCGGGGATGTTAAAACCAGTTGGGAATCATATGCATTGGCGAGATGTGTTATTGAACCAATTTAAGAGCAAGCTATTTTAATGAAACTATGGATTATTCTTCTACATACTTTTACTAGTATATAAGTTGGATCATGGCGAATCGGTGGACTATATTTATACATATGTATATACCTATATACATATATATATATATATATAATATACATACTTATATACATATATATTATGACTTTTCACGTTTTTAACAGATTTGCATTAAATTTTTTATATAGCCATTATAAAATAATTTAGAATTTTGTGTAAAATTTTATTAACATCGGACTACGATATCATATAGCTGCAATACAAACGATCGTCAAAAATATAAGAAAATGCAAAACGGTGAATGTAAAATAATAGATATAAAATACAAAGGTGAATGAAATGAAAGCAGGCAATACTTTATTGTTTTTAGCATAAATATATATAATTTATATTGTATTAATTCCCAGTGATCGAATTTCAATCTGTAAAGATATACAAACTTTGGCATGCCGAAGTTGGCTTCCCTTCTTGTTTTCTCTTAAATTTCAGGCTTAGAAAAGTACTTACCATAGCCAACTGATGATGGCTGAACGGATGTTTGTTAAATGTTTACCCGTTGTTGGCCAAAAATAGATGGCCAGCTTCGCTCAGCTAATCCGTTTCGCATTAAAGCTGCACCGACCGAAGTGTTTGCCTTGGTCGCATCTTAATTTCGCTGCCACAGCCGTGTGTATACACACACATACATATAGCCGCAGTTATTTGCTGAGAAATTGATTTTCGTTAATTTCTGCCACAGCGAAAATGGCGTGCAGCAGCGAGGGTCGCTCTATGAGTTCCCCCTACCATTCGCTGAACTTCTGCTATGGGAACACAAACTGTTCGCTCGGCCTGCGCATAAGACATGCGCAAGAGCGACTGAGATACAGAGATACTCACCGACAAGCATAGATACACAGATACACACGCAAACGGATGCGGCACAGATACTCGCACACACAGGAGAGCGCACGCACACAGCCACGCCGACGAGGCGGAGCAAAGTAAACAAACATGGCCGAAAATGTTTGCTGCTCATAATCCGATACAAGTGCAAATGCCGCACTCACACACGCACACACACAGGCACACTCACTCGAACACACCTCGTTCGCTCCTCGCAGTTTCCAACTGGCTGCCGATTCCATCTCAAGATGTGCGAACTTTTCGCCAGGTGTTAATCACGGAAGCCATGTAATCGCCTTCGATAATTTAGCTGCCTTCGATTTTTTATACCCCTGCCGGGTATTATAATTTTAGTCAGAAGCTTATAACTATGCGAAGGAATCATTTCCGACCCCATAAATGATAAAAAATATAAATAAATATCGACTGAAATAATGGTATTATAATTTTAGTCAGAAGCTTGTAAGTCTATAAAGGAGTCATTTCCGATCCTATAAATAATATATATTATTGATCAGCATCAATAGCTGAGTCGATCTAGACAAATGGGGATGAAAAATAAATTTTCGAAATTTTTTTGTTTTTTTTTTTCAAAAAATGATAGGGGTTACATTGTTAAAATTTTCAATAATCGAAAAATTTTTAACATTTTAAATTGAGTATGCAGATTTGTTAACCTAAGAAAAACTAACATAAGACAGCTTTCCGAATTAAAATTAATGCATTTTTGGCTCAGTTAAGCATTGATTTTTATTAAAACTAGTAATATACGAATATGGATAAATATTGCTCACAGATTAGTTCCTATACTTAAATCTCTAATAACAAGGGTATATAAACTTCGGCTTCCCTTTCATTTTTTCTTATTTTCAGAGGCTCTAAGTGCTCACTCAGGCGTTGCCAAACGATTCCCTCGAGTTTGGTAACAATTCAAGCCAAATTGGTTAGCAAAATAACGCGTTTTGCAATTCATTAAGCGCTAAAATCTCTGGAGAATTATTTTTATAAAAAAGGAAAGCGACAAAAAACATTTGGAATCTATCCTATTTATTTTTAAAATATTTATTCATAGAACTAAGATTAAACTTGATTTTATTTAATATTCAAATAATTTTAAATACTATTGAAAATGTAAGTATATTCGCAAAATAATAGTTAATTATAGATTCCCCAATAAGTAGCACGTTTTTAGCTTTTTATTATAATTTATCTACAATAGGGAAATCCGGTTTTTAAGATTTAAAA